TGTGTTGCTCTTTTAAACAATCCTTGTAAGTTCACATTTTACAAGTCGAAACGTGTGAATACAAACTACCAACCAGCACTAATTTATTTAGGCTCAAATATAAAAACTCATAGTGATAAGAGCAGACCAGTTCCTACAAGCAGCAATCGTTCACGAATATGACGGATGGGCCAACCATCACTGCGCTCGACCTTATTTTAGGGAGCCCAATGACCCGGCCCGATATTAATTTTATTGATAACAATGTACTCGACCTACACGCGGTCCACCCTGATAATCAACTTTATTTTCAGGTGAATTACACCACGATGGACAAACTGACCTAACTACATGTTATCTCATCATCCAACAGCATGCTGGCGGGGCACCAGCCCGCCAGCGTAAACCGTTATCCCAGGTACACCATTCTGATCCAGAAACATCATCAATTAAAAATAAGATTTTAATTCTCCGCCGTGGAAGGAGACAGCTGGCGACCTTAGGCGTAGACGAATAATAACACCATAAAAAAATATTGTTTTAAAAAAACTGTTTTCAATATAGTTGTTTGTCATTAAAAGTGTGAATAAAACAATAAAAATCAATACTATGTTGTTTTTAACGATGATTTTGATTGTTTTTAAATAATATTTATTCCTTTAGTTACTATGCACTGAGTAAATAAAAAGAAAAAACACTACGTTATAGAGTTGGCACTGTTCTTTGAGAACGAAAGCTGAATTGAATCTATGTAACCGCTTGTTGTAAAATGCTTTCACAATTTCATATAAAAAATATTTCTTTATGTATGTGATGATTTGACCTGATCTCTCTCATTTATTAAAAAAAAAAAATATTATGGCAACGCTTCGTACAACCAGCCAGCTTTAACTTAGTTTAGTTTCTTTTTAAACATTTACTCCATCTATAAAATATCTCCCGCCTAAAAAGAATAATTTCTTTGTACCAATATTGTTAGTCTACCTGCCTTGGGCTACCGACAAAAATACCATTGAAAAGTGATTATTACATTAAATGCAACGTTGAACTTTATTAACAACGTTTACAGATGGTTTTCCACTGTACATACCTACGCACAATGAGCGCGTTATAACTGGAAGAAATGGACACCGATGATTGACCATGGAGGTTATTCGAAATTCAAAACCGACCGAAAGGTAAGCTTGTGGCGACATGAGTTTATATTACTAGCCACGAAGGAATCTAATTATTAGAGGCCTCTATTTTTTTTTAAATAATGCACAGTTACATTCTGATATTATACATAATTCATTAGAGTTAAAATATCAAATTTACATTTGGTTAAATAACTAAACAAATCAGTCTTAGTGCTTAAAGTCTCTAAAGGAAATAGACGATGGTTTTAAGGTGGAGGTCAACTTTACCAGCTATAGGGTCACTTGTCCACATTACTAACAATCCCCTTCCCCAGTAACCAGAGTAGACCACTTTCTACAATTGTTCCGAAAGCCGATAACATAATAATATCATTAAAATTCTGCACATAGTTATAAGGTCATTGATCTCTAGTACGCGTAAGTCATGGCCATAGTGTTTCTTCTGTAACGTACGCAATTACTTCAAATTGCGAACTATTTCTTGCACCTATTCGATAATACCTCACAACTCACGTGTTCACACTCAACTCACATGTAAGTGGGTTATTACATTATATAACCGATTAAGGTTTACACTTTTAAAATAAGTACTTAGGGTTTAATTATTTAAAGCTGACACTAATGTATCACAATTGCAATTTACCAAATTTCTGACAAAAAAAGTTAAATTATCAATAGATTAATAAAAACATCGCAAAATTATCGATTTACAATCGAGAATTGGTAAATAAAAAGCATTTAAAAAATAAACGCTTATAATATATAGCGTTATTTTGTTCCTATTATTTTTAATTTAAACGACAAACTGTATTATTTTTTTAATGTATCTCTAGACGGCCCATCATTTACAAGTTTACCTAAGTACATGAAGAACGCACGATCATCGCATTATGTGACGTTCGTACCTTATACCTTACCATTCCGTAGGACTATGTTGTCATGCCCCTGTACCCTGTAATTTCACTGCCATTCTTACTATTTAACCGAAGCACAATTTACAAAGCTGACTTGCTTCTATCTCCAGAGGTACAGACTATTTTATACAATAATTAGTTGTATTTTTTTATTATGATTACTAGCCGTTCCAGCAAACGTTGTTTTGCCATATAAATAAATATTGCTATTAAAAAATAGGGTCGGTGGTAGAATGGTGTAAATTTATGGCTGTATGTAATTTTTAATGGCACAAATATAAATAATGTTGTTGAAAATATTTGTTATAAAATTATTCTCAGACCTACTAAAAATACATACAAAATTTCATAAAAATCGGTCAAGCCGTTTATAGCTGGAAGAGTATAAACATGAAACCTGCGACACGAGATTTTTATATATTAGATTATTTATTAATTAGGTGGTTGTTATGTAAAATAAGTATGTATGTATGGCGTTGTGTATGTAAATTGTCCTGGGTTGTTATTATTATTATATAAGTATAGGAGGTTGTTTCAAGGATCAAGTATCATATAAGTAAGTATGAACACTTAAAAAAGGCTGCCCGACTACGTTGGAAACTTGGCGCTGCAGCTTCCCATCCTCGGTCGAAGATCCCGAGGCAGGAGATGTTCATGTAATTGAAATGGTCAACATACTGACGGCCTACCTGATGGTTAACACAGCGCCGTCTAGTCCCACGGTAAGCAGAGCTTGTGTTATGAGTACTAGACGACTGATATAAATACTTTTTGTTTTTGTATATACATAGAGAACACCAGACCGATAAAAACAAACATACTCTTGAATACAAAATGTTTGTGTCGTGCGAAGAATCGAACCCGCGACCATTGGAAGTAAGACGGTGTGATAACCGCTAAACCACCGAGGACGTCTATTGGTCCAGCTAGGTAGATTGGTACCTATTTATAATTTTATTAGCCGTTTAAAGTTTAAAAATAAAGGCTAATATTATAAAGTAATATGCGTACCTATCTACATATTTGCTCTTCCACAGACGCCAACATTATCTAATCATGATTCAAGGGCATTTCTATCTATCTATGAATATAGTTATATAACATTTTATCATATGTACGTACTAAACTACTAAATGGTTGACGTAGTAGGTACTATGTAAGTTTGTTACATATACCTACTTACTAGATGCATAGCTTGTATTGTTTTAGAAAAACTAGTAGACCAGCGCGACTTTCCTCAGTTCTTGCTACATTTTTGCTCCGCTCCTATTTGACGTAGAGTGATGTTATATATAAACCATATATATAGCCTTCTTCGATAAATGGCCTATCCATTACTAAAAAAAAATCTAATTTGTTATAATGGGCTCGTAGTTTGTATTGTATTAGAAAAAACCTAGTAGATTTTTCCTGTTTTTGCTAGATTTTTCAATGCAGCTCCGAATTTATTGGCTTTAGTGTGATGTTATATATTATGTCTATAACTTTCCTTGATAAATGGGCTATCTGGCATTTTCAAAATTGGTTCAGTAGTAGATCGAGATATTACTTTCCTACAACCTTGTGAACTTTACCTATTATATTATGCTACCTACCCGCTCCGGCTTGACACGGGTGTACATGTATTATACATATATTCCTTCTTCTTGAATCAACATCTATGGCAAAAAACTTCATCAAAATCCGTTGGGTAGTTTAAAATATCTAAGTGAACAGACAACAGTGGCGGAGGCGAATTCATTTTATAAATTTAAAGGTACAAGAGGTATAGAGGGTATGGATTGTTAGTGATGTGGACTAATAGCCCCATTGCTAGCAATGTACCATGTCAGGTTGACTCCACGCGGTTCCCCCTGGAAATCATCATGGTAAATTCCTATAAATTCGTATCCGTCAGGCGGGAGTTACCCTTTAACCGCTCCATAAGTCCTTCCGCGGGTTTGGAGTGCCATTTGCACTCACCCCCTATCGTACAGTGAAGCTGTAAAGGCCAGCTATGGCCAACAGCATTAGAGTAGTCCGAAAAAAAAGGTAAAGTCCTGGTGAATTTATCACCATGGCCTAACTGACCTGACCTCATGTTCTTCTTATCATTTTACACTGGTTTCCCGCCAGTTAACTGTTAGCGCATGTAAGATTCCATTATGAATTAAAAAAATGTATAGATAAAATATGTGATAATAATCATCTGCTTCATCCTTATCCCTATTATTAATATTATTATGTAACGAAATTATTAACAATTTACAATTGTAACATTAAAAATTACAATTTTGTACTAATTAAATAGTAAAAAAAAGTAAACTTAGCAATCCATAGAAAATAAACCTTTACAATTGAGAAATATTAGTAATAACATTACATAATTAGGCCAGCAAAATTGGTTTAAACCCAATCTGTTTTTATTATGTAACGTAATAAGACTAAGCCAAATAAATCAATAAAAATTTCAGCTAGTTTTTCCATGGCAGTACATCAGCTTGTCTTGTGACGATTTACTAAGAAAAAAAAAGAAAAAATAGACCTTTTAAAAATAGACGAATATGGGAAATATTCGTCCATTTCCTTTTTCAATGATGAAACAGGCACAGATCCTTAGACCTCACAACCTAGTCTACTTTCTTCCATAGACTACGAAATATGGAATGTTTCTTTTTTATAGTCGATTTAATTTAAGAGTATAATAATGTGCAAAACCGTAGTAATTTCGTTCCTGTCATTCATTCATATTTCCAGAGTACAGAGCTGTAACAAGTGTTAGAATTATATAGATTAGTATGGCAACACTGAACAGAGATTATTAGAAAATGTCTTGCTTGTACAATGTCATGTCTTCTGCTACAATAAAAGTATTAAACTATAATAACAGTATTTATCATTATAACATGGCGCAGTCGATAATTTAAACTGAAAAAAGTGATAGAGAGTGATAATAAATAAGTGATATTGAGTAAGTAAACCAAAAAATATGGATATGTTGAAGCCGCCGCCATCATTGTCGTTTACCGGCGACATTGCCGAAAATTACAAAAGATTTAAGCAAAGATATCAGTTATATGTGAAAGCGTCAGGAGCTGATGTAAAATTGGATGATGAGGGACAAATAGCATTATTTCTTCACACAATAGGTGACGAGGTAATACAAATATATAATACTTTTGATTTAACCTCTTCTACAAAGTTCGATGACCTAATAAAGAAATTTGATAATTATTTCATACCACAGAAAAATGAGTCTATGAATAGACATATTTTCTTCAGTAGAGTTATGAAGGAAGACGAATGTATCGACGATTACGTAACAGAATTACGTATATTGAGCAATGATTGTAATTTCGAGTCACTGCGAGACAGTTTAATAAGGGACCAGATTATTCGAGGAATAAGAGAAAAGAGCCTACGTGAAAGATTATTAAAAGAGCATGGTCTTGATCTAAATAAATGTATACAAATATGTAAAACGTTCGAAATAACTTGTATACAGATGCAGAAATTTGAAAAAGAGAAAATAGAGGTAGCAGAAATAAAGAAAAGCAGTAAGTATGAGTACAACAAGAGCCAGACAAAGGGAAAAAGTCAAACAGCACAAGGTAGACAAGCTGAGGTATCAATACATAATGCAAGTAAGAAAAATAGTTTGTGTTATAAGTGTGGTTATAGTCATGGGTATAAATGTCCAGCATACAATCTACAGTGTAGAAAGTGTGGACGTCGTGGTCATTTCGCGCGAGTGTGTAAAAATAGAAATAAAGTGCAAGTGATAAATGAATCCGTATCATCTGACATTGTGATTAGTTCTATAGAGGTCGGAACAATAAATAAAAGTGATTTATTTGAGTCTCTTCAAGTAGGAAGCAAAATTATTGACTTTAAGTTAGATACAGGATCTGATTGTAATGTGTTACCATTGAAAATTATTAAGCAGTTAGGTTGTAATACAATGATTAAAAGTAGTAATATTAAGTTACATAATTATGACGGGTCACAAATTAATAGTTTAGGTTTTATAGACTTGAGATGTAAACTGATCAATAATAGGCAAGTTAATTTGAGATTTCAAGTAGTAAAAGCAAATTGTACACCAATATTAGGTTGGAATACTATGGAACATTTAAAACTGTTTGAACGTAAAAATCTGAGGCAAGTAATATGTAATAAAAATATGCATTGTCATGATATAATAAATAAGTATATACAGATATTTGATACAAATAAAATAGGATGTATTAAGGAAAAAGAAATAGAGGCACAGGTAGGTATGATTATAGAAAATATTCCAGTTAAATCTTGTAGATTAGAAGAAATTAAGAAAGAAACAGAAAATGACAGGGAATTTAAGTTATTAAAAAAATATATTATAGAAGGATGGCCAGATAATATAGAGAAAGTACCAGACAGTTTGAGAGATTATTGTACATTCAAAGAAGAACTTTTTGTATATGATGATTTAATATTTAAAAATAACTGTGTAGTAATACCAATGTCAATGAGACAAAATATGCTTGAACAGTTACACTACAATCATTTAGGTATTGAAAAATGCAAGGCTAGAGCTAGATCATGTATATTTTGGCCTCATATGAATAAAGAGATAGAAAATAAGGTACAGAATTGTAATACATGTTGTAGATTTAAAAAACGTAATAGTAAAGAACCTATGACCATAAGAGACATGCCTCATAAGCCATGGTCAGTTTTAGGAAGTGATGTTTTTTATTATAAGGAAAAGCCATTTCTAATTATTGTAGATCATTACAGTAAATACTTTGAAATTATAAGTTTAAGTAATTTATCTGCAGAAGTAACAATTGCTGCATTTAAATCAGTATTTGCTAGATTTGGTATTCCTGATATTTTATATTCGGATAATGGTACAAATTTTTGTAATCAAAAGTTTAGAGAATTTACAAAAAATTGGAATTTTACTCACAGAACTAGTAGTCCTACATTTCCTCAGTCAAATGGTCTTGCTGAGAGATATGTGCAAACGGTTAAAAATTTGTTTAAAAAAGCTGATTATGAAAAGAAAGACAAGTATTTAGCATTATTAGAGTACAGAAACACTCCTAAAGTAGAAATGGAGAATAAAACTCCTTCTGAATTGTTAATGAATAGAAATGTTCAAGGTTTATTACCACAATATTCATGTCCAAGTAATGATAATATAAGAATACAGACTAAATTGTACAAAAATAGTTTTAGACAGAAAAAATATTTTGATAAAAACACTAAAAAGTTACCAGAATTGAACATTGGGCAAAAAGTTATATTAGAATGTGATAAAAAGCCTTTTACATATGCTGAAATAATTAGAAAAGATTATAGACCTAATTCATATAAAGTAATGTGTGAAAATGGACAAATGCTAGATAGAAATAGAAAGTATTTGCATAATTGTAAAGATCAGTCTAAGCTTATTATTAAAAAAGAAAGGAAAATAGATGTAGATTGTGATAGTGGTCAAAGTAAAGATTGTGATGATAAAGAGCAAACTGTAATTAAAGATAATAATATTGAGTTACAAGTTCAAACTGAAAGTCACAATAATGAAAATCATTACTTTACCACTAGGTCAGGTAGAATAGTAAAACCTCCAAGTTATTTAAAAGATCATGTTTATTAAGTTCATTTATTGTGAAGGAAGGGGGATGTAACAAGTGTTAGAATTATATAGATTAGTATGGCAACACTGAACAGAGATTATTAGAAAATGTCTTGCTTGTACAATGTCATGTCTTCTGCTACAATAAAAGTATTAAACTATAATAACAGTATTTATCATTATAACAAGAGCCATTCTTAATTACGTCACAGCAATTTCCCCCCTTTCCCCTCCCATGTCACAGCTGATCACATTTTTATAGTTAAAAACGTATTTTAATATGTACTACAATTAGAATGTGAGATAACAAAATCTAAAACCCCTTGGCCTTATTATTTTTACAGGAACTTTGCGACTCTTACAACGCCTTGTTATGTAATGTTACACATTGATTACATTAGCGTGTAACACATTATGAATGACCCTAATCCAGAATTAGAGCAATATAGTTAACTGTGTAAATCTTAATTTGTCTAATTATTAATTTTACTGAATTTCAACTGTTAAAATTTAATATTAAATATATTGAAATGTAATCTAGAATTAGAGCAATATGTATTGAATATGTAGACTGTGGATAATCCACAGTTTATTTAATTACTAATTTCACTGTATTTCAACTGTTAAAATTGTTTTTAGTTTCGATGACATAACGAAAGTAACCTATTCCACATTTTGGTAACTGTACTTAACTTCACTCCATTCTTCGTAAGTAGTGACGGCATTCAAGATTACGTCATTCGCAGAAAAATCAGTCACCTGTATATATATTTATTTATTCATCATTCTTTGACAGACTAAAATTAACTTCTGAGATACAAGAATTAATGGGCATTTAACATAGATGTTAAAGCCATGAATATTATTCCTTTGCCTTAAGTTAAAAAAAATAAAATAAAAAAAAGAGAAGGAAAACCACAATATTATTTTTAACATCTCTATATTATCATAACTCGTGTCGCATGAGTTTTTCTATAGAAAAATCCACGCCGAGCAAACAATATCCGCATTATGGTAGATAGCTTTTAACCATTCTAAATTACAACTCCAATATTAATTTAATGAAGTCTCAAAGTGGATCAATACACTACACTTTTTCAAAGTGAACTAAATAAATATGTCTTTAGTGTCCTCACTCATACAGAATAGCACAGATACATACTGTTACGTAACTACTATAAAATCACATGATTTAAGACAATTTTCACAGCATAATGTGAGCATTACATAAGTCCATGATACTTTTACAAAGTACAAGGTCTCACTCCAAGCAATGTCACTAGGTTATGTATTGATTCTAATTAGCAAAGAATATTCCTGCACACTATTATTCAGATACATTTATGTGCCAACAAAGATTTCAGTTATGTAGTACTTGAGCCATCTGTACTATTTCCTGCCTTAACCTTGGCTTCAATCTACAGACTGTATTTAGGTTATTACATAACTGTCACACACTGGCAGAATGACTGCTGAAAATTAGTGAAAAACTATTCAAATTTTTGAATTCAGAATAGAATAGATGAAATCTTTGATGCTACATTGTATCCTAACTACACATAGACAAAACAGCTAGGTCACCACAAGTTATTATGTAACACAAGTATTGATTTTAATAAAACAATTTAATGTTGGAATCAATTTATAACACTTTATTTAACTAAAAATAAGTTACTAGAATTGATTTTCGCATGTAATAATACAGAAATCCAGGGTGTGACTGTATGGTGAATGGGGAATTGAAATTATGGTAACAAATTCTTACATTAAATTTAGAGGAGCTTCTTGATCTCATCGTATAAGACGAGCACGAAAGCACCACCTGTGCCTCTTAGGACGTTGGAGAAGGCTCCCTTGAAGAAGGCAGAGCTTCCTTCAGTCTTGGCGATGGTTGCCCAGCAGTGGAGTGTGCTCCTGTAGAGGATATCAGCCTTGGCACGGCCAGACTGCATCATCATACGCCTACGGACTGTGTCGAATGGATAGGAGATGATACCAGCAACAGTGGTGACGGTCTGTGCAATAGCCCAACTGATGACAAGTGGTGTGTTCTTGGGGTCGGGCAACATGCCACGAGCTGTGTCGTAGAATCCGAAGTAGGAGGCACGGTAGATGATGATACCTTGTACTGATACACCGAATCCTCTGTACAAGCCGATGAGACCGTCTGTTTTGAAGATTTTGCTCAGGCAGTTTCCGAGGCCACTGAACTCGCGCTGTCCGTCGCCTTTTCCTACATCGGCGGCGAGACGTGTACGCGCGAAGTCAAGCGGGTACACGAAGCAGAGGGACGTGGCACCGGCGGCACCACCGGAGGCCAGGTTTCCGGCGAAGTAGCGCCAGAACTGAGTGTTCTTGTCTACGCCACCGAGGAACACCTGCTTGTACTTGTCTTTGAAGGCGAAGTTGAGGGCCTGAGTGGGGAAATACCTGATGACGTTGGCGAGATTACCACGCCAGAATGACAGGGGTCCCTGCTCCTTGGGAATGCGGACGAAAGCATCGACGATACCCTTGTAACGCTGGTCCTCGGTGATCTGCTTGCTGACGTGCTGCACCTGGAGTAGCAGCTTGACGCGCTCGATGGGCGCGACGGCGGTTTTCGAGACAGCGGCAGAGACACCGCCGGCGATGAAGTCTTTCGCAAACGCGACCGGATCGGCGAGGTTCGACATTTTGTTCAATTAGGTGGGCTCTTCACTGGGTAATTGCCTCGCGGGCGTCGACTCGGAATACTACAGGTACACACACGGAATGGAGAAATCACGAAACAACTAACTCCTGAATTTTATAATCAGGAGATTTTGGTGTGGTTTCGTGATCACGGGAGCACAGGGGTAGGTGTGTGCCTTTTTTGAAATTCGATCGATCACGTTCTCTCGCAATTCTGCTCAGAGGAGCGGCGCAAAAGGAAGGAAGGGGCAAATGTTGCCAACCACACGATAAAGTACCACGAGGTCGGTGTGCCTATTATAAAGTCAATTTTTTTCCTTAATATTATATCTTTTTAATCGAAATAATATAAACAAGTAACAGAAGTCTAATGAATTGAATTTTCTGAAATATATAAAAACAATTTACTTAGAGGAATTACGAAATAACAAAACTTAAAATAAACATATTTTATTGTTATTCAATAACAAATCATTCGGTTACTTTATGTTTTGTGTTTCCAAAACGGATTTTGGTCTATTTCTGATACTTTTACATAACCAAAATAGACTATCACCGCTGATATTATATAGCAGATCGTCAATACATAATTTAAAATTAAACCTTAATAAATGGTATATTAACCGAAAGTGGCAACACTGATAACATGGTCGCAGATTGCGTTTAGTTACAACAATATTTAATCAATATGAGACGAAGAAAGAGAGATAAAATTTTTAATTATATCACTCTTTTTCGTAACTATAACTTTATTGAAATGACAATACGAATATTTTTTCATTTCTAAACTTAATATCATTTAAAATACTTATCCCAATTTACAATCATGTTTAAATAAATCTGTTAAAATAACAGTTTCTTAATTTCCATGCTAGGCAACTGCACAGAATTGAAAATGCACGTCATTGTGACGTCAACAGCATATTTTAGGGCGCCAACAGACATTCCATTTTGTCGAGTAAAATGAATCTATCTCTGTAACTTCATGATTTTTTAAACTTTGTTTCTTGTACTTGTTTCATCCACCAAATATCTTGATAATAAGCAGTATTTCTGTTGAAATTATTTTATTGCCATAACAGGCGGTACAACTGCTTTCGTTTCCTGTTATTTAATTCCTATTTATTACGGTTGCCCTTTTACATTCTAGTCCTCTACAACACAAATGAGAGATGACGTTTTCCGTGGTGTTGTTTATGATGATGATAGCTACCATTTACCATTATTCCGTCTAACTTGTATTCCATGTGAAAAATAGCGACATAGGAGGTGCAAGTTAGAGAGGATGGTACATGGTGGGGTACTAGGAGATATTAGGGTATTAAGGAGTATCCTGAAGAGGATGGTTTAAAAGATGTGTCCAGCTGCCCTAGAAAGGAAAGAAAGTGTACAAGGGATATTTAGTTCTGTTCGTGTTTTGTGTGACTACAATTTTGCTTAAGAGCATAACTATTGTCTATCTATTCTTACTACAAAATGATATATATAATTTTTTGACGTAAGTATCCAGTCTTGTACCATTAATATAAAAACTAAAGTAAAGTCTACGTATTATTTTATTGACATGACATGTCAATAAAATAATACGTAGACGGAATAATAACTATATTTAAATGTATTTATGTAAGTACTGCATAATATAGGACTTCAGTTACTATCTATTTCAATTAGAGATTATAGTCATGTGTATTGCCAAATAACAATTGTCATCTACAGACATTGAATATAATATTAATCACACGAATTACATCGGTATGTTTGTTGCCGCCCTAATCTGACTCACCATAGACATGTTAACTAGAACAGCGCACATTATCGGTGTTAAAAAAACATCGATGTTGAAATCGATCAATAAGAATTTATTTATAATATATATTCCATGACAAATAATAATTTTAGCACAGATATGATAATATTACATAATTTCAGATAAAATCGATGTAAAACACCAGTAAAAAAATGTTCCGTATCTACTACTTAGTCTTGGTATTTATAGATTGCAAGTGTTTTTTGCAACATTGCACTTTTATTTCAATTTGTGGTTTTTTAAAGTCATATTATTGACGTCTTGACATCGGTATACCGATATTATCGGATGTTTAATATTCTAGTTAAAACATCAATAAACATCGATGAATAGTTTAATATCGATCATTCCTACTCTAAACGTATAGCGTCATCGTGCAATATTTTCTTGATTTCCCGCTTGTCTATTGTCATTGTTAAAAACACACATCTCTGTTTTGCGTAAGTATTTTTGACTTTGTTATTTGTTTTTTACTTTTTTAAGCTAGATTGAAGTGTTATGTGTTTCTAGCATGCAGGTTGGCCGAACTGGTTTACCCTCTGTTGCAATGGACGACGATACGGGCGCGGGACATGTACTTAGCGACTTTCTGCTACAACTTGAAAACTACAACCCTTCAATACCAGATTCAGTTGTTGCACACTATTTGAACATGTCCGGCTTCGAATCACAAGATCCAAGGTAATATATTTTTAAAAGTTGTTTGAATTTTGGGGTATTTCTGTAGGTACCTAGTTACATTCTAAGTGATTTAGAATTACGAATGTAGGCGGTAGAACATATAAACCTTTAAATAATTTGGAGTAACGTAATTTTAACTTTATTCTAGAACAGAATAGAATACCATTTACCATTTATTATTATTTTCATATAATTTCTATAATATTAGTTTTAAATTATGACCTTATTATTAAAAAAAGAAATCCAAATAATTTTATAAGTTGTAGAGTAACCATGAAAACAATAAAATCATATTGAGAACATGCTTCTTTTTAATTGACTTCCAACTTACAGAAAACCAGGCTTCTCAATTTGAATATTTATTTTTATTGTGTTTTACCTTGAAAATGAAAACCTACCTACTCATGTTTCTTTTTTATTTGGTAATTGGTGCTTCTGATATGGTCTTATACTTGATCAAGACCAGTACTTTCTGATTGAATCCTTAATGCTATTTGAATTGAATTTGAAGAGATTTTCTTCAACACTATTATTTGAAGTTGGTTTAAATAAAGTTTATTTATATTCTGATGGTCTTGTATTGATTCAAGATGAATTAAAGTTTTTTTTATAATACACTAGCTACTCAGCCCGGCTACGCACAGGTGTACATATATTATACATATAAAACTTCCTCTTGAATCACTCTATCAATTAAAAAAGCCGCTTCAAAATCTGTTACATATTTAGTTATAACCATTCAAAAGTGCTTAAATTTAAGTTTATTTCAATAAAGAATTTTCTGAATAAACTGCTGAATGGAACTTAATGAAATTCACATTAAAATGTATTGTACAACAAGGACATAGGGTATCTTTTACAATTAAAAAAGCAAACGGGTAAAAGCTATACTTTAGTTAATTAATAGATTTTCAAATGATTGCATTTTTAACTCTTTTTTGTAATTAGGACACATCAATCACATTATCTTATTTGTGACTAGCTGTATCTGTGAATTCGTCCGTGTGGAATTTAACTTTATTTTTCTAAATTAAAAGTAGCCTAAGTTATTCCTTATTACATCAACTACCTGCCAAAAAAAGTCCTGTCAAAATCGATTCAGTCATTTCAGAGATTAGCTGGAACAAACAGACAGACAAAAATTGTAAGAAATGTTATATTGGTGTATGTACCATATTTATTTTTCACCGCTTTACATCCGATGGTTGCGGGTTAGATTCCTTGCACGGCACAAACATTTGTATTCATGAGTCTGATTGTTTGTATCGGATGGTCTGGATGTTTTCTATGTATATTATGTATGTATTTACGAAAAAAACATCTATATATTTGTATCAGTTATCTAGTGCCCATAACACAAGCTTTAGCTTAACTTGGTCTAGATGGCGCTGTGTGAATTGTCCTGAGGTTATTATTATATGCATGTAGTAAAAAATGGTTATTTCAATATTACAAACAGATACTCATTTTTTTTATTTGTATGTATAGATATCACTCCTGCATTGTCCTTACAGAGGACTAAGTTGTCTTATCCTGTGATTTCACTGCCTAATCGGCACCCTACAACCAAAACACAGTTTACAATACACAGAATGCTGCTGTCACTGAAATAGTTGAGACAACTTTTTGCAAAGTCACCCTGATACAGAAAAAGGGATGTTTGTATTAATGTGTGTGTGTAAATGTTTGTATTAGTGTGTATGTAGTATTATCAGGTCAATTGATAAATTCACCAGGAATTTGTCATATTGGTTACCAGGGGGAACTTTGTGGAGTTCAATCTAACTTGGTATATTGTTAGTGATGAAGAAATTTCACACTTACTATCCCTTTCTCCCAAATATTATTATACATACTTATTTTGTATTTGGGGGTGACTATTGCATTTGCTGGGTCTGGATGCTGGAATCTAATTAAAACAACATTTATTTAAAAGAGCAACATTCAAGTTTTTTGCTTATTCTTCTTGTGATGAGTCTGCATTCTGAATGAGTGATAGAATAAAAAATGTGACTATTTAATAGTGCTTTATAGTGCATATGAACAGTTTTTTTGAATAAAGCTTATTTATATACTACTCTATTAGCATTTCATATGGGATGTTAAGGGGTACAGATGTACAGAAAAGTAAAAAAAAAATAAAGTATTTCTTGTTAAAATTTTCAGGTTAATAAGGCTCATCGCATTGGCCTCCCAGAAGTTCCTATCAGATATTGCTAATGATGCACTACAGCATTGCAAGATGCGAACATCCAGCCAGATCAACCAGGCCAAAAACCAGAAGGGTCCTAAAGAGAAAAAGTATGTTATGACGATGGAGGACCTAGCGCCGGCGCTCCAGGAGTACGGCATCACTGCAAGGAAACCGCATTACTTTGTCTGAGACGAAGAAAACGGGCAAAGGGATAATAATATTCAGCCTTAAAATCAATGTGTTGAAAAGAAAGAGACTGCTAACAATTGGACAATTTAAGATGTGTTTAATATATAAGCTGTTTTATGTTGGCTGTATGCATGTTTTGTCGATGCCACTGTATCGTTCAAATGGGGATCGAAAATATGATGAGCCGAGTTACGAACTTCTAGCGGTGCCTTTAGATTAAAGTTGTATTTATAAGGCAGGAGTTGGCCTTCAGTTGCGCCAAAAGACCTTCTGCGGGATCTTCTGGGTAGCTGTAAAGGCCAGCTGCGGCCAACAGCCTTAAAAAAGCTATATGCATCATCTAGACGGAAGTATATGATCTTTTTATGTTTTTAATGATAATATTGTTGATACGTGGATGGATTGGAATGGTGCGCTAACGGTTTATGCTAGCCGGGCACCAGTGGAGGATGATAAAATGAGCATGAAGTCAGGTCAGATAGCCCATCTTGGCAAATAGCAATTTACCATGATGGTTTCCATGTGGACCGCGTGGCGATCAACTGACATGGTACATGAGGTTATTAGTCCACATTATTAACAATCCCCTTCCCCAAGGGGAGTTATATTGTAACTAAGCTAAGCCCGGGACTTTGTACCCTTAACTTTTATACTGTAAACTGATTGGTATAAATAAAATTTTGTATCTAGCTTACTGCAATTATATTAGTGAAAACTGAATTCAAATGAGTTCAGATGTTATTTAGATTAGCGCGGACAAATAGACAAAAACTGTGAAATTGTGTCGTACATACGCGCTTTTCCATACAAACATGGATTGAAATACATGTCGCAATTATTTATACATTTTGCGTATTAATTTTTGGGTCTAGTGTAATAATGAATTTCAGTTTAAAGTTTTTGAATTATTATATAAGGTTTAGAGTAACAAAAATAATATTACAGATGATATGCTCGAAATATAGATAATAAAGGGTCTATAAATTATCTATAAACTATATATTTTTTAATCTCATAATAATTATAACACAATAAGACTGGTTTAGTATTCCTATAGAATAGTAATTGCGTCGTTTAATTCAATTTATGTCTGTGGTCCAAAGTTTTGTAGTCTGTGAGTTGTTTTTAAATATCGTTAATATTAAATAGAATATTTATGAAATTCTATGTTACTATAAAGCAATAAACAGTTGCACATTTATCTGTAGTTCTAATTGAATCGCATTAGAAAGTGCGTAGCTTATAAGTTATCATTTTCTTTTGAATTACGTTATTTTTTATGACTATTTACGGCAATTTAGTGAACTGTTTATGTTCTTTGAAAGAATTGTTTCGATTTCAGTTGGGCCGTATGCTTATTTGCCACAATCGTAGTATAAAAGTCGTTTTTTAATTGTTTTTTTTATATTCTATTTATTTTTATTGAAAACGAGATATTTCGGTAGTCTCAACGGCCATGATCACTGAGTAAACTTTTTGTCTGAAACAATTTTGTAAATTTTATGAATTAAATATAATAATTCACTTATATGTTTCTAATAGAAAATATAACTATTATAACTGTTATATAGGATAGGGTAGTCAGAAGTGTTGACATATACCGACGTCGTGGTGAAACACTGGTTTATATATACATATATAGCGAGCCTACTGCCGACTCGGATAAATTTTAACTTTATTAACCGTGTTTCCTTTAGTGACAAGTGACATAGTATGTATATTAAATTCCAGTAAATAATTATGAAAATATTGTAAAAATGAATCTAAATATTTAAAAAGATAATATTATTTATTTTCTAACATTGGTACTTACAAGTAAGTTATAACGAAAATGGTGCTCAATGATTTGAAATGTCTACAAGAATTTTATTAAAAAAAAAGATAGATATGGAAAGTGAGATATGGCAGAGAAATTACAGGGTACAGAGACTTTGGTATATCACCAATATAACAATAACAACAATCAACAACATAGCTATATCAACGTCTTAACAAATTCTTTTTTATTTTGTTACTCATTGTATAACAAGAATATTTTTTCTACATTGACATTTACACTGTCTTAAAATTTTCTCTTACAATTAGTCTGTTTGTGTGTTTACTCTGATGTGTTGGTCACTGTCTTGGTCTGATGTGTTGGTCATTGTCTTGGTCTGATGTGTTGGTCATTGTCTTGGTCTGATGTGTTGGTCATTGTCTTGGTCTGATGTGTTGGTCATTGTCTTGGTTTGATGTGTTGGTCACACTCTTGGTTTGTTGTGTTGGTCACTGTCTTGGTCTGATGTATTGGTGGCCGAGTTGGTCTGTTGTGCTGGTCACTGTCTTGGTCTGTTGTGTTGGTCACACTCTTGATCTGTTGTATTGGTCATTGTCTTGGAGACTGACTTTGTGAGGGAAATTATCTCTGAAGTTCTCACTAATAAATAATAAATAATAGTAAATAATATAGAATAACAGATAAAGAAAATATATTTGTGAACAAAATAAAGTCATATAAAAACAAGTGCGGAAATTTTTAACATGACGGCAGGCAAAATGACAATACACTTTATTCAAATATTCAAACATACTTCGTCTGTCATACCAGCCAGTCTAATCATCGATTGCAAACCCTGTTCTAAGAGACTTTGTCTATTGTGTTGGTCTTGGTCTCATGTGCTGGTGATTTAATTGGTCCTTTGTGATGGTCACTGTCTTGGTCTGGATCGCTGGGGACCTTGTCTATTGTGTTGGTCACTATCTTGGTCTGATGTGTTGGTCACACTCTTGTTCTGATATGTTGGTGACTGTCTTGGTCTGTTGTGTTGGTCACTGTTTTGGATTGATGTGTGGGTGAAATTTTATTCTGACGTTGGTTGTCCGATATATAATTACACAGTGATCTACAAAATTTAAACTTATTCATGACATATGAAGTATGTTCTAATACCTATAGGTGAACGGTCTGCTGGTCGGCCGACCGTTAAGAAATGTCGTCGTTAATGAAAGAAGAGAGCTTTTTTATAATGTAAAATATATTTAGTAAAATTTCTATCTTGTTGTTCGTATTTTTCCTTGTCGTATCTATCTTGTCCATTGTTTCGACAGTCCTAGTCACGTCTTATAACCGGCCAGCAAGCAGTCCTGTTGAGGAGACCGCAACAAGATTTAGATTCATAAGAAAAAGTGAGATAGTTTACAAGAAAAATAAAACAAAGATAATGAATGATAGAATTTACTTGAATATTTGGCATTCGGTTGGTCTCTTTTGAATATTCAGCAGTAATTAATCATCCTTCGACTCCCATTTAACTTGGTATCTCTTTGCCATCTTCGAAATGACCTGATGGAACCTTTTCCCATACTCGTTGCTTACAGCCCCTAAATTCTCATGGAAAAAATATAAATCTGATTCCAAATAATGAATGTTCACTAACAAGATGACTGCGAACAGGGATGAATGCAAGAGAAAACATTACGCCGACCCCAAATAAATGGGATAAGGAAGAAGCAGATGATGATGATGAATGTTAAGTAACATATTACAGTTTAAAGCATTGTATGCCAGTAAGCTCTTCAATCTAGTCTATGATACTAGTTGTAGCATACAGGCTTGATTCTTTTGGAACACAATATTTTATGTATGAAATTCTAGGAGCTCTTCTCTTCTATAAACATTAGAGTTTGTTACCTAGATTAAATTGTGGTTCAATTCCCGTCAAGTCGGTGCCACGAGTTACTCTGTGGTGCGATGCGGAATATTGTTAGCCTTATTAACAACTTCTTCGTAGTTCCTACATTGCCTTGAACAATATATATATATTTTTAAAATATAACAGGTACTCATACTGCTTATTTGATGGTAAGTGATTACCGCCGCCCATTTGACATGCTGTGAGTCCCTAAACAGTCGTCTAAATCGTCGTCTCTAAAATATTATAGCTTTTCCCTGAATTTAGAAACGAAATAAAATTAAGGATTGGGTTCAATACATATAAAATTATTTCATTGCCAACAACTATAATACATTTCTTGTCTTTGTTCTTGTGTTGTACAGTGTTCACGTCGCTTATAGGAAGTAGAAAAGCAGCAAATTTATCTTTAGTGACTATGTATTCAACTTACCGTATAAGTCGTAAAATGGAGTAATTTCAAGCTTGGGATCGTGGATTCACCATTGCTAACAATTCTCTAACATAAACCTGGATAAGCAACTCGTTTCTAGCAAATCTGGTATTTAATTGTTCCAAACATTCTTTATAGGAAGATGGAATGAATCCTACTAGTCGTCTTTCTTCAGTGTTAGGAGTCATTAATTGCAACAAGTACTGTCTGTGGGGTCAATATTAGGATCTCTGTCTATTTTCGAGAATTAGGCTCAGTAGTTCAGCCAGTTATTCAAATTGTCGTTGTCAGAGTGTACAAATTGTAAATCGGGACGTAAAAAGCTTTCCTAAGCATCTGTTCTTGATGTAGTCTTAAAAATCGTCCGATTATAGATATCATTGTAACGTAAATTTTTCTAGTATTGTGGGGTACGGAATTAGATTTTTATATTCTGTTACTCCGACAAGATTATCACAACGACTTCATGTTTTAAGAATTTGACCAACAATTCTAACTTGTTATATGACTTGACAATTTGGATGTGCATTTTTTAGTAATGAGTATACTGAATGAATTGGTTGTAATCACTATTGTATAATGAATATTTTGAGATTAATAATGCCTTTTTGAAATTTTTGGTCGGCAAAAATTTTTAGGTGCGGTGCGGATAGTGTAGGAAAATTTTAACGATGCCCAGAAAAAAAAGCAAGAATTTAGTGCTACCTATGTACGTATTTATTATTTTGGTTAAAAATCAAATTCTGAAGTATAAAACACAAGACCAACAAGAAATCAACTTGAGAAACTACACCGACGGTCTTGAGTCAGTCCTTTATAGTTTGGTACTCGAGAGGAACAAGTAATTCGAAGTGTCTTCTAAGTGAGCGGTGGTAATTCGAACGATAATTGTTTTTTAAAAAAATCACCTTTGAGAAAGATGTTTCACATATTTGACGATCCGAGGTTCGACCTACGCTACGTTCGCCTGTTGCTGACCGGGGGTCTATAGCTTTCTTGCCACTCTGTTATATATATTATCATTTGTTTCATTTAATGAACTCGGAATTGAGGGTTTCGCGCATAAAGTAATTGAGTTGTATTGGTGGTCATATTTTACGCTAATGGAGCAGCTGCATATAACAATGCCAATCGTTTTGATTTTATTATGTTCTATGAAAGACTTAATGCTCCTCCACAATGGTCATGCCTGCGCTCAAGAACACAATTTGTTTGGCAATTATACGGACTAGAAAATATCAATTTGATTTTACAAATACTTGTGATTTGTTTAAATAACTCGATTGTGAAGGGAGTGTCTTGATTTTTGTAGTCTCTTGAACGAGGTGAATATTTACTTGATGGTCGTACATAGGAGAATTAAATAAAAAAACCTGGCCTAAATTATTATTTATAATATATCATGTAGACATGCATAATGGTACAATCAGATACTGTTTTTAAGGTATTGGTTTAATAATAAGGATCTTTATTTTTAGACTTTAACTAGAAAAATATTCGTCAGTCGTTTTCATCACTCTGTTCATTGTTACTACATTCAATTTGTTCGTTGCCCACTTCAGGCAGAAGAAGATTTATAGTATCCGGACAGAATGGCTTACAAATGACAAATATTTACATTATGTAATACCATAAAATAATTATGAATCGTCTCCAACGTTATATTAATTTCATATTCTATTAATTAAGTAAATACACTTCCAATCACTACATACATATTTATTACATACGGTATATATTTTTTATTTGCTCTTTTGGAATTAAAACTTTTAAGGTTCTTGGCATGCCGTCCTGGATTTAAGGCAACGTGACGTATAGTTGCCCATGGTTGAACACATCGGACCGCAGATCTATCGGTTACTTTATCGATGGTTAGCCCTCCTTGACTTTTGTATGCAGCTATCGCGTATCATACTTGCAACGGAAGTTGTCGACGATACATTTCAGAGGGACTTCCCGGTTCAGTCGGTGCTTAGAATTCTTGGCATTATATCGCTGCCTTCAATTCTTCTAGGCTCGAAGGGGCTGGATTTATTGCTTGTACCCTTCGTTTGAGCTCGTCTCAAAAATGCTCGATGGATAGGGCACAACATGTTCCAGGAGAATATTTCTGATGTACCCATCAGCTGCCAGTCTTTCTCCTCGGCCTCCTCCAGGCACAAAAACGAGGTTGAGACAATGAAACGGTCGTCTCGTTCAGAAGTACAACTGTGGCGGCTGGTTGTTGGTCTTCCAGTGAATGCTCCAGTCTCTTGATATCGTTTGTATACTCGGGATACA